TGTTATTAAGTAGTCAAATTTATCAATGTTTTCTTCATGTCTTCTAAATATTATATCATACTTAAAAAGGGATTTTTTTTAATTAAGATTGTGAAAGAATTCTTCATGTTTTATTTTAGTACTTTGTGGTATTGTTTTCTTCCGTGTAAATCGCTGATCTGTTTGGAATTTATTCTGCTATCTGGTGTGAGATGGGGATCCAACTTTATTTTTTTTCCAGTTGGCTACCTAACTGGAACGTCTCAAAGTTTTGTTTTTCCCAGTGATTTGATATCCCAGCTTTGTCTTAAATACATTAAATTTCCATATGTATTTATTTCTGTTTCTTAACATTCTATTGTATTCCATTGGTCTACTTGTCTGTTCTGCACCAGTTGAATTACTGAGGCCTTGTCACACATCTTATTATCTGATAGAGATCATGGCTCCTCCGTTCTAGAGTTTCCCAGATATTTTTGTTTGTTTCCTTTAATTTGTGAACTTTAAATCCCTTATTGGTGTTTTTATTTAGATCGTATCGAATGTATAAATTAAGTTAGGGAGAATTGATTTCTTTATGATATTGTCTTCCTATTAAAACACATGGTATGTATTTCTATTTGTTCAAGCCTTTTCTTGAGTCCTTTGGGAGTGTCTTCTTCATAAAAGTTCTGTACATTTTAAAAGTTTATTCTTAAGTATATTTTTCTTTTGTTTTATGACTTTTGCAAGTGGGATCTTCTCTTTCCTGTATTTTTTAACTGATTGTTTCTGTATCTACGTGAAAGCAATTTACTTCTATTAATTGTGTATCCTGCCAACTCATTGTTTGTAGTAATTTTAGTTGGTTGTCTTGGGGGCTTCCAGGTACACAGTCATGTTGTATGAGTTACTTATAATGCAAAACTTAGTGGTTCAAAACAATAAGTGTTTGTTATTGATCATGAGCCTGTGGATGGCTGAGAGGTTCTTCTGGCTTGACGGGGCTCATTCACATGTTTGGGGGTTGCCTGGAGGTAGGCTGGTCTAAGATGGCTTTGGATGAGATAACTGAGCTCTCCTCACTTGTCTCTTACTTTATACCCCCAAGGAAGCTAGCCCAGGCATGTTCTTAGAATAGCTCCAGGAAATTCCCATGGGGATTGCAGAGGAGCAAGACAGGAAGGGAAATGCATAAGCACTTTTTCAAGCCTTTGCTTCTCTCAAGTCTACCAGTGTCTTAATGGCCAAAGCAAGTCACAGATTCCAGGGGTGGGGAAACAGACTCGGCCTCTTTGTGAGAACTGCAGTGTCAAAGAGCAGGGATCAAGGAGAAGTTCAAGTGCAGAGGCCATCAATACAATCAATCTAACACATGCACCGTCTGTAAAGAGTGACAATTCTACCTGTTTCTTCCCAATTTTGAGTTCTCTAATTTCTTTCCCTTGAGTAATTGCATTGGCTAACACTCCCGGCACAACGTTTAACAATAAACGTGGTTGTTTTCAAAGAGTCAGCTTTTGGATTTATTACTTATACTTTTTCTGTTTTCTAACTGATTACTTTTCTGCCTTTCTGTTAATATATGTTTGTCCTCTTTTCCTTTAGTTTAATTTGTTGTTTTTTTCTAAGATCTTTAGTCAGCTGCTATAGCAGGTGCTATTGATACCCCGCCCTGATCCCTTTGCAGGCCTGTACACTCATCTCCTAGCTGCTGTCAGTGTTGACTGGAATCGGCTCACAGCTGAACCTCCTCGGAATTGTGCTTGACCTGTGGGAGTCACCTTCCCAGGAAATGCCTGAGGTTATGCTTTCTCCCGGGAATGCCCACAGCCAATGACTGACTGACAGAGGAGGACAACTCGGTGGTGCCATTTATACTTCAGAGCTCCCCACTGAATCAGGCTGAGGCTAGACTTCAGCCGAGCCCACATCTTTGCAAGCTCCCCAGGGCCCGTGTGGTCTGAAGGCCTCCTGTCCCCACTAGTGCCCAGAATCCTACTGCAGGCCCACACTGCCAGTTGCCCATGGCCTACTTCTCCGCTTGCGCTCCTAAAGATGGTCTATTGTTTGCCCAGCAACTGTAGACCCTTTTCACATGCTTCAGCGAGAGGAAACAGGCTTTTCTTGGAGTATTTTTTGTCCAGTATTTTTCTGGAGATTCTGCGTTGAAAAATTCTGTAGCATCTTGTCCAGCATATATAGGAGGCAATAAGGAAACCCAGGGAATTTACTGCCATGTCATTCCTCAAGTCCTAAGTTCCCCCAGGTGGTCTGCCTTCTTCTCGCACCTTTCAGAGTCTTGCCGTGCTTGTTTATTGTGTAACGTCCAGGGTTTTTCAGTTGTCCGAGGGAGGATCTGGGAAGAACGGGGCTGTTGCATCTTGGCAGAACCAGAAGTCCTCTGTTATACAGTATTTCCACTAATAGACATAAATAATGAAGAACATAGATAACCATAAAATATAATAAAATAATTAGGAAGTGATGAGCTTTGAGTATTTATTACCTTTTTAAAAATATAATTTATTTAAGTGTAACTTCGTATAAATTAATTTTTGATAATGGCTGTGTTTAACAACCAGTTCACAGAAATTCTTAACATTTAACAATTGTGTCTTGTGTACTAATATAAGCTGGCTTTAATACACCACTGGTTTTATTTAATATACAGATAATATTTCGTTACAATTTTTATTTGCTGCAAGATGACTTTTTTTCTGGTGAGTGTTTTTGGTTTGTAAATAGATTTGCTACTCTTTTTCTCCGTTTTTCTTATGGGATCACTGTACTAATTCTATGCTAGTTTTTTTTTTTTTTAACTTATAATTGAATGATTTGGGTGAAATCGAATCATTTCCAGCCTGGCTTTTCTAAGATGGTTTAGGGTTGGGGCTAGGTTGGGGAGCCAGGAGAAGCTAGGATAGTGGTTCAGGCTAGTCCCTTTTCACAACGTAGAACCCTTTTCCTTCTCTGCTGCCACAGAGATAGACTGCTTCTTTCAAATATGGCTTGTCTGTGTGATTCTTCCTGTTGCCCCCGACCCTAAACCTAGCTCAGGGACTGGTGCGCCTCCTGCCACCTGCTAGTTCCCTGCCATTCCTATCCTGTTGTTCCAGATTAAGAGCTAGAGGTTTTACACCTCAGTGTGTACGTCCTACATTTAGGGAGTGAATTTTTACTGGCATTTTCTAAGATCTGCCACGCTTTGGCCCTTGTGCTGTGAGATCTCTTTCTGTGGTTCTTTCCACTTCCTCCTGCCCAAATCCTGCATCAACTCAGAGGCTTTCGGCATGGCTTACTTATATGTTAGAATCTGGAGATTTTTCCTGACTCCCAGTTTCGTTGAAAATGGAATTTTTATTTTCTGCTCTTAGGGAAAATGCTGCCTTCATGCAGAAGTGTTTATGCTGAAATCCCCACCAGTGGTTCTGAGATCAGGTCTACTAGCTGACTCAAAAAAAGAAAAATGCAAGAATGGGCCTGTCTTGTTTCAAGGTTTTTCTGATGGGAAGTTTCTGTGTCCATTTGGCATTTTGGGGGGGGTTATCTTTTACATTCCAGGGTGATCGGTGGGTCCCTTTGATTTTTCAGTTACCTGCTGAATGGATGGATGAGAGAAAGCCAAGACAGTCGAGTTAGTTCTTGTTTGGTCTGGGGCAATTGGCCAGCAAGCATTTAGGGAAAATGTTTAAATGTGAGATACTGTGCTGGTCCTGAGGGGCTACACAGAAGTTTAGGACTTGAACCCTACACCCATGCAGTTTGTATTCTGGTTGGGAAGGAACTTTACGTAAGGACAGTATGTGTAGTGGACATGCTTTTTGGGACATACATGGGAACACTATCTCTAGGATCTGGTCATGAAACTATAGAACCCAAATAAGTTTAAGTTCAACCACCATTTAATAGTCTACTCTGGACCAGGCCTTGTGTTGGGTGCTGGGACTGTAAAAATGGATCTAACAGAGTTAGATGGAGGAGGAGGTAGAATAAATAAGAGCGTGGATGGCAGTTAATTTTATTGAGCACTTACTATATATGTGCAAGCGCTAGTATAAGAATTTGAAACGACAATCCTGAGTTATATACAGTTATCATTCCCATCTTACAGATGAGAGGACAGAGGCATCGGGAAGCCAGGTCAGTTGACGTTGGTCACACAGTTAGTGACAGAGCAAGAAGTCATACCTGAGTGAGCTTTCTTCCAAGTTCAGGCTGTGCTTTGCATTGAAACATTTTAGATGGCAGTGGAAACTCCACTCCTATGTCTTACTGGGTTCAGTGAGAAACAGACACCAAGATGGGACTAGATGTGCATCTGACTTATTGGGGGAAACATCTGTGAAGGATAACAGGGAGGGAGCTGGAGGGGGCGGGGAGAACCTTCAGAATGTGTGCAGGCAGGGCTGACACTGTGAAATGAGAGAGAAGAAGGGGCACAGTGCAGTTATGAGAAAGTCTCAGTGGGCCATGGGGGTCCCTGGGCAAAAGTTGCCTGTTGGGCAGGAATGGCCCGACTCTAGAACCTTGCCGTGCACAATCGCTGGCTGGGAGCAGTCTGAGAGAAAAGTAGCCACCAGGGGAACTCCACAGTTAATTCCAAGGTATGTTGTTGGTAAGCTTTGCTCCCTCCAACAAGTTCTCTTGAGGGAAACTCTAAGCCACGTTCCTTGTGGCCACCACAGTCCACCCCTTGTACCACACAGGTCACCCCCTTCTCCCTCATCTCCCCAAAGGCTGCTCGAGTCAAGTCAGACACTGAAAATGTCTTACATTTGCAGAGGAGGCAATGTTGGAGTCTTGTTTTAAAGTCATCTTGTCAGGAAATCTTCCTTCTTTCCTTCTATTTTGATGCCACACTGAACACATAGTCTGTGTTACACACACAGTCGGCCTTCTTTGATACACAGTAGCGAACAAGAGATACAAAGAGACCCGACAAAGATGTCTGTTCTATCAGATCCCTTGGGCCGAAGACTCTACTCAGAGTCACCCGCAATTCGATGTCTTAACACCCGTTTTGTGTCTGTTCCTCACAGGTATGATTTAAGTCTTGATGAAATGAGAGCTTTGACATTTCAGAGAGTGAAGTTTACCATGGGTCTACCTCTCTTAAAACGTGCAATTCAGGAACAGGTAAGTTTCATTGTTATTTTGGTGTAATGTGGGTGTGTGAGACGGAGAGAGAGAGAGAGATTTTGTTTTGTTTTGTTTGCTTTTGTGACTTGTGGAAGCACATCTGTTTTGTCCCGGGGGAAACTGACAATATCGGTGTGGGGAGTGCCTCCTTCAGCCCCTTTTCTACCTGCTCCCTATTAATTGACCCCCTGCCCTTGACCCACACGTTCACTTCACCTGAGCTCACAGGCTAGGGATTAGGGAAATCAGCAGAAGTCATAAAATATTTGTTCACCATGAAATTGTTTTGTTCACAAAACAAATGTACTTTTGGGCATAAAATTCAAATATATGAGAAATGTAATTAACTCATTTGACAGGCTTTTAAAGCATTTAGACTGGTCCAAAATGTTTGAGTCTTGTTTGTCTACAAATTGCCATTCTAAATTCAGTTGAATTATTTTAGTCGATTTAGCCTCATTAAAAAGAAAGAAGGAAGGAAAGAAAGAATGTGTGATTGGAGAATTCCTTTGTGATGTGAGCGTTAGGAGCTATGTATTTTAGCCAAGTTTAAATCCATCTCCATTTCCTTCAGCTTCACGGCTTCTTGAACCGAACACTTGACCTAGGAAAAAAAATACCTCCTGGTGAGCTGCCTAGGGGAGGGGCTGGAACTGGGGATCAGCTTCAGTTAGTAGAAGGCTGAGGAGCTGAACCTGTCCTGCAGTGAGCCGAGCCGGCTGCCTTCCTGCCCAGCATGGTCTGTGGAGGGAGAGTCTGGGGATCGAGGGGGTGGGGGTCTTCCCTGTTCAGGAGACCACTGGGGGCTCGTTTCTGTGGAGTGTGGATCAGGGCCAGTGGGGGCCTGAGGTCCATGCTTGAGACGAGATCACCGCCCTCCCACCCCCCTTTGATTGGCTGTCCTGAGGAGGCAAGGACAGAACTCACCATCTTCTTGTCAAGAAGGAATTCCAGGCAGAGCTTTGGCACCTCTAGTTGAGGTACCATAGCCACCTCCAGGTGACAAGGATATGGCATTGTCACACTTAGATGGAGAGCACGTGGAAGGAAAACACCCACACGACAGAGTGAAGCGTGCTTGTGAAGCCTGAAAAGTCATCTCATCCCATGCAGTCTGGCAACATAGATTTTCAAACTAGTAAATTGCCTCTTCATGAAACATACATTTAGAGCTGTGAATACAACCAATAAAGAAAAAAAGACAAACAAACCCAAACCGTCTTTGCTTTCAGTCACTTTCTCTATCCGAGTGTGGCCTCCAAAGGCATCTGGCATGGGGTTGGTTGGAAGGTGAAATCCTGACCTGTGGCCAGTCTCCTGCTCCCTTAATCAGCCCAATGTGTCTGGGGCTTAACTTAGTGTCAGTACTCAAGACCTGGATGTGAGGGTTGATCCTTTAATGAGGTTTACTAATTGCTGCTCGACCCATTGAGTCTGAAGGATTAGCCTGTGTGATCTTGCTCCTGATGGAGCGTGTTGAGCCCTGGATCCAATTAGCTTCCTGTTTTCGTGGCTCCCTTCACGGTCTTAGGCAGCCCGGACGACTCTGTCCTGCATGATTAGGTATAATTCCTCCGGGAGGTACAGGATTGGCCCTAGACGATGCCTCCAGCTCATTTCTGTTCGTTATTTCAGCCCGTTTGGCACTTCTCTCTGTGAATTCACAAAAGCCAGTGAACCTGAAGGAGGTTAAACTAGCCAGTCCTCAGCACGGCAGGCTCATCTTGTCGGGCGGATGACATGAGAGTCAGCAAGCAGCACATCTGGGTCTGAAAGCTCTCAAATTCCACCCTGTACACAGCTGGAGAAGCTGTCCACGTCCAGTAATTCTAGAAGAAGTGTTACATGATTCTTCCTGCCTCTTAATAAAAATATTGAGTCATGGCTGTACCGCCTGTTCAGAGAGCGTTCCAAGTCCTTGCATCTTTCCCTGGCCCCGTTTCGAGTTGCTGTTCACTTTCGTGCATGATCCGATGAGCTCCGAGGCAGAGCGCAGAGTGTAATGTGTAATGATGATGTTCTCGAGGACAAATGAGGAGTGAGCCCCATTCGTTCCAGGTCTCTGTGGACAGTCCACAGGCCAAGAATAAGCCACTAAAATATTTCCACTCTGTGTTTTCCCCTCTGCCATCTGCAATAGATTTGAGACGTTTAATTTTAAAAGGAAAAAACAGCATGAGTCTGACTACAGAGTGTATACACACACGCACACACACAGTGTGAACACCATCACTGTACCTTGTCACCCTCTCCTGCACCTGTTTCCAGTGGCCCCTCAGCCAGGCATTCTCTTCTGCTGAGGATTCCAGGACTGGATCTTGGGCAGGCGAAGTCGCTGACTCCCTGTGTTTCCAGATGAGGAGACAGAGGACCCAGGTGGGACTTCTGCTCTGTGACAGTGCTGGGACTGGAGCCCCAGCCCCTCCCTCGGGTGCCTTGTCCTGTGTGTGTGGCAGCTTCCTCAGAGACGCTTGTCCCTGGAAGCTGACAGAGGCTGATAGCCTGCACCCAAATCACCATAACCAATAGCAACAGCTCACACTTACTGAGTACATATTTTATGCCAGTCACAGCACTGAGAACTTGAAATGGATGATCTCATTTAATATTCATAACATCCCTAATGGTGTTTCCGTTTTACAGATGAGTAAACTGAAGCTGAGTAATTGGCCTGAGATTATACGACTAGTGAGTTATAAATATAATTAGTAGTGCCCCGATTCAAACCCAGGTGGTCTGCTTCTTGATCCCACTTAAATCTGGTGGTTCTCACCCCTCGTTGCACGTTAGAATCACCTGAGGGAGCTTTCTAAACTCCTGCTGTCCTGGCTTTTGCTCAGGCCAATTCAGTCAGAATTTAAATCCCCCAGGTGGTCCAGAGTGCATCATGGCTTGAGTGCTTGGCCCCATCCTTCTTTCTCAGTACCCTGTACTGTCTCCCCCAGATTATTCCCATTCAGCATTTGGTCCCTGCCAATCATAGGTCAGGGCTGACTCAGGATTGCCCCAGCCCAATATTTCCTTTCCTGAGGAGGGAGCCAGTTGGGGTCAGGCCGCTCCCCGTGAGGAGAGGGGACAGATGGCTGCGTGATGAAGCACCCACTCCATGACTACTCCCTCCTCCCCACATCATCTTCTCTCCCATCCTGAGCTCTGCTCGTCCTCATTCCCATGAGCCACACGAGCGGTGGGCATGGTAGCATCATCATTATCTAAACCAGTGGTTCTCAAAATATGGTCTGAGGACCCCTGGGGGTACCAAGACCCTTTCAGGTATTACCTGAATAGTAGATGTCCAACTACCTGTGTGCAGGACGCCAGATTTTCATCATAAACTTCAACCAAAATAACATATGGCAACAGGCTGAGTGCAGAAGCAACTGTGAGAGTCCAGCTGTCTTTTATTAAGCCAGATGTAAAACAATTTGTAAAAATGTAAAACAATGCCATTCTTTTCACTAATTTTTTTTTGTTTGGAAATTATGGTTATTTGTCATAAGAATTATGTCATTTACATTAACATGTAGTAGGTTTATTACTGTTACTTTTAAATGAATAAATATTTTTTAAAAATCTCAGTTTTAATTACTAGTATGGTAAATTGATAGATGTAACCTGCATAAACAAAATCTCTTTGGACTCCTCAATAATTTTTCAGAGTGTAAAGGGGTCCAGAGACCATAAGGTTTTGAGAACCACTGGTCTAAGTCATCCACTGTTTTCCCAGGAATCCCCATCTCAGATCAGCTTGGAGGGAATTGGCAGGAGATTGGTGGCTTTATATTTGTATTTATTGTACTATAACTATCTATTATTTTGGTTTAGAATTTTACATAGTCTCAGTTTGGGATGGTTTTTGTTTTTGTATTTAGAGAAATATCAGATCTAAAATGGAATAAGATTCTAAGGTCAGCTCACCTTAGAAGGCATCTGGGAATGGGGAAAATGGTTGCTTTCCTCATTAACCCCTGAGAAAAGGAGCAGCTTTCCCCAGGAAGCAGTTACATTGAAGCCGTGGGTGTGTGGCAGAGGAGCTGAGCAGGGAATATGCCAAGAGGCTGAGGATGTCTCTCCGGCCGCTGGTCCTTTACACCAGCCCATCCAGCCCAGGCCAGCCCTGTTGCCCACAGCCAATACCATGACCGGGTACACCTCCCCTGCTCTGTCCGTGTCCTGGTTCCTACCTTTGACCTACTTTGAGCTCTTGGCTCCGATACCTTAGCCTTGGCTCTGCCCTTGGCCTTCTGGCTTCTGTTTGTACTGGAACCCAGGCTTTTCCTAGTGGGCCGTGACAGGCTGCCCCTGGCTCTCTGTCTCGTGTGCTGCCTTTGGCAGGATTCCCTGTCCCAGCTCCAGCTCCACAGACTTGGACACTGGCCACTTGGCCAGCACTCTGGCCAGGCCAGCCCTGGCCCCATGGGATGCTGTGGAGGATTTGAGCAGAGACGACAGGATGGAGTGCCTGTTTACAGAAGTTCCTCTGTGTAGATTGGCACCTAAGCTGAGTTGTCATCCGTGATGGCCACAGGGATTACTTGAAAGGGCATGCCAGGGAGTGAGTTGGGTCCCGCCCAGGGCTCCAATGCAGCTGGGATCCTGGTGCTGTTTGCTCATTGCACTGTGAGCTATTCTGCATAAGGAAAACTTCTCACTTTAAGGCTTCATTATTACTCTTGAAGTGAAATATTATGTTAAAAATAACAATAATTATTACTTGCTATCATTTGCTAGTCCCTTCTACGTGCCAGGTGATTCATTCATTTTACGATTATTTAATAAGCACCTACTATAAACCAGGAACTGTTCAAGAGGCAGTGAACGAAGCAGGCAAGAAATACCTGTCTTTATGGAGCTTACATTTTAGACTGAGAGGAGGCAGAGAATGAACTAATAAACAAGTAAATTTATATTATGTCACATGGTTGTAGATGCTGTGGATGAAAATCAAACATAGTAAATTGGAAAAGAAGAAGTAAAACTATCTCTGTTCACAAATG